TCTAGAAGAAATGCAATTGCTATTACGTTCGTACACCGGGATTTCCGTTACTGATGACTTGTTTTCTATGTCGTACATACCCGGTTCGCAATTTTTCCGGTGTGTCCGTTCCAATGGATGGTGTGTCCTATTCAATTTTTCTGGTGTGTCCTATGAAGTTAAAAAGAGATTGTGGGTTCAACTGATTCCTGTGATACCAGTCTGTCATTAGTTGATGTTGAGTGATGGATGATGCTGCTGACTGTGTATTCCCTTTTCTTTTTTCCATTTTAATTGGGTTATCCACTGGAATTTTGTTGGTCTGATGATGTTGTTTTGGTTTATGTGAGTCAAGTATAAATATTATTCTTCCCACCTTCCAGCAAGTAAAGCCAACGAATGTCAATCCTCAATCGCTAAGATCTGATAGTTCAAAAGGATGAAAAAACTTATTTAACTTCCGCCAAAAAAATCTGGCGATAATTTCTTCCTCTTGGATCTCTGAGGCTGGATTCTCGTTCTTGTCACCTTTGGTTTCGTCGCTTGGGATGATTTTCTTGAAGTTCTTGTCTTTGCCACTTTTTTCGTCGAAGTGATAGCTACTCTTTGTTGGGTTTTGGGCCACGGTCTTCTTTCTTTATCCTTCTTCTTAAAAAGATGTAAAATCGGGAAGGATAAAACTACGTTCGCAAAATTTTGAGTTTTTGAAAAATTGTATTTTATAGCCTTATCGGATTTCCGGAGGATTTGGCAACTGTCTAATTTCACTGTAGTTATTGAAGATTGAATAAATTTCTCGACCAAAGTTTGGTAATTGGGTTCACCGTTACTTCAGTTTAATTTTTCCCGAAATATATCACACTTCTCCACTGAGCTGGTTAGTTTTAGAACCACGTTAGTTTTTGTTCATGAATTGAACACAGTTGTATCTTGGAAAATGACAGTTTCTATGGAGAAGTTGGGCTGAAAACCGACTCTTAACCCTGTTCATCCGGTCGTCGAGTGTTTTAACCTGCGGAGTATCTAAGAGACGGTCTTTAGTTCGGTCGTCTGCAGCCCACTTGATTGCCCTTTTTAGACATAACTGACATTCCATTGTCTAAAAAGGTATTGAAAAATTCATAGACAGTTTTTTTAACGGGCACTCAGTTTTCTTTTGAGCTGTATTTTAAAACTTAGCTATTGTTTTAATTTTTTTAAAATCTAATCAATAAAAAAAAGTTCAAGCTATTCCTAGGTCAAAAACTTTATTTTTAGTTGGAAGGTATGCTCAGTTCTTTAACTTATCTGTTGGAGCGGTGATTGGCTACCAAGCAAAATAATATGTTAGTCTTTCTGAATAGCAAAATTATTTAAGTTGAAACAAGAAGTGATCCATTTTAATTGAAGTAGAGGTTTCTTGTCATTGAATTTAACCATTCAGAAAGTCGATCTTCATTTTAGCAGAAATTAGTGAAATAGTTTTAGCCGAAAGGAAGTTCAAAACTCTGTTTATATAAAAATATATTTCGTTCAGAAGAGCCTCAATTTGAGTCCAATGAAAAAGTTTTTTTTTGTTTCTGAGCTTCAGGTCGGTAGAATTGTACGTCTGTATTGCAGATAACAAGGGTTTAAGTTTTTTACCTGCCTTGCTGCAATCGGAGCAGTTCATTCCATGAAAGTGTATCATTCGGTTGATATGTAGTCACCAAACATATTCCGAAAAGCTAGAATGGCCAGAAAGACCAAACTGCCCAGAATGGGTTTTGTGACAGAGTTTAAGGGCTGCTATTTTCAGAACGGACGGTAGGATTATTTTGCTATCCATTTATAGCAATCAATTGGATGTGTGGAGATTTTTGTGCAATTTCAAAAATTAAATTTTAATTTTGGTGGTTTGTAGCTCATTTTTACAACCTTGATCAAAAGTTTTAAAATTTTATCTTCTTCAACAAGTAGAGTGATGTTAGTATTGTTTAAAAATTTATTATGTTTCAATTTAGACGACTCACGATTTTCTATGTCAAAGCCAATTGTTTGAATGGCATATTTTTCACAGCAGTTCTACGTTAAGGCTGAAGGAAGATGGATCGGTTAAATTTCCACTTTTCAGTTTTATATCAATTAAAACATTTGATTCTATTGGATAATTTAATAATTTTGGTGGTGCAAATAAAAAATATAAATTGATAAAATTGAAATAGGAACAAATGAGAGTAAATTTGAGAATAATCCAACGAGGGACATCAAAAGATACAATTTTTTGACCGGCAGAGATTGAAAAAGATGAATCTTTTTGGTACAAAAAACTCAAGTATCATCAAATTTCCAATGGCTTACGTCCGCTCCTTTTTAAAAATTTTCAAACATGTCACTGAAAAAGTAAAATTATTGCCTTCTATAATAAAAATGCATTTTTGTCTAGTTTTAGTTGGCTGTATGTATTTTTAAGTTCTAAAGGTGTAAATCATTTTTCTTGAGTGGATTTTTGGGGAAAAAGAGCTGCGCTGTTATCTACCAGTTCATGAGTTTTTGGATTCTTGTAATTGTTCTTTTGTTTAAAAAAATCGTATCTAATGCTAATTAGTTACGAATCTTCTATTTCGAATGGGTAGGAACGAATGGGCTTGTGAATCTGTCCTTTTGGCAATTTTTTAATTGCTTGATGTGTTCATCGGAGATCAATCAACCTAGTTCTTGGTTTGCCGAGGGTAAACAGGGTAACAGTATCCTTTAATTCTTTACCTGAGTAGAGTTTTGATGTTTGTGAAAATGTCTGTTTTCGTTTTGTTATTGGTTTTCCAAGTTCTGTCGAAAATGAAATGATTTCGTTGACAACAACTGTTGTTTCGTTTTTGAAAAAACTGACGGATTTTACAAAAGATTTACTTTCTCAGGTGTTCTTGAAGTGACAATACGGTTTTTATGAGACTTCAATCCCCTCGTGTGGAAGGTTTTCGTTTTTTAGGATGTTGCGCTCATGGCTTTCACTGATGAAGAAAACCGTTCTCTCAAAGGACCATCCTTTGGAATTGATTGAGACTGTTATGTAGCCTACTATCTCTATCGTGTCGTTTGTGAATGGGACGTAAGCATCTTTCATTGCCTGATCTACGGTTAATCTTCAGATTAGGGTCTGGTAACTTCAGTTCAAGTAGTGATTTCCTATTTATAAAACTCACCGGACTTGCCTACTCAACTTGGATATTCAGCTATACAAAATTATTTTTTCCCGGTTCAATGCGTAGCAATCTTCTATATTCCTTTTTTCAATCGTCTGCAATTATCGTCGTTTGTTTTGCCATTTAATCATCATTGTCACTTTGTGCTGCTTCCAACCGTGCATTGATACGCCGCAGCACTCATATCTTCATGTACATGGTTTTTTACAACAAGTTGGTCCGTTGATCCGACGGATATACAAACTTAGTATCTAAAATATGTTTACTATACCTGTTTATTTATTCATGTTGAAATATCAGGTACAATAGTAGTAAAACAAATATCAATAAGTTCTCATTTTCTTCCTTTTAAAATTAAACAATACAGAGAGCGTAGTTCACTGGAGATACTGTGAAGTTTTTTTTCACAAAGTACCGCCGCATTTCATTAAAGAACTTCCTCTATCTACAATTAATGTAGACTCTCGTTTAAAAAAGTTTCAGTTGTTATTCACAAAAATATTATGTAAGCTATGAAAATGTTTAAAATTGTTTGTATTTTTCAAGTGATTAGAAATGCCTTTTTTGTCGATGAAAGCTACGTTAAGGACTTCATGAGGTGGAAAACGTTCAGTGAGAAGTTTTTTTTGGATATCGTAATTCATCATTGTTATTGAAGATGTCACAAATCCATTCCTAGTATCGTTGGACTTATCGCATTTCTTAGCCATATCTGCTAACACGCCCTAGTATTGTTCTAGACTTGTTTTCCCGTTGTCATCTGCTCAGGAGTTTTTGCTGTTGGAAGGTAATATTTGGTTTTCAAATGAATGCTTAGTTGAAATATTCCCAAATTCTGCGGAGCTAAAGCAAAAGATTTTGAACGTTTGAATTTCTGAGCAGATATACGATATCCTTTCTTGCCTTGTGCTAGAAAGAGCATTGGGTGGATCTTCTCATCTGTTTTTTCAAAACGCATACCGTTCAAAGGCTTCGTCTCAAGTTTGTTTCTGTGACGTTTTAGCTTTCACCGAAACGTCTTCTTTCGTCTAGAACTCTAGCTAGCCGTTCGGAATTCAGCGTGGTGGACTCGATTCGTTGTTTTTCTTGAATCTAGAGAAGTTTTGTTTCAACAATTCCAATGTATAGAAAAAAGTTCAAATCTCAATATTTTTTTAGCTAGTAAAGCTACTTGAAACATATATACCCAATCTTTACAAGAGGTTGAGGGGTCATTCGTTTGGTTTTGCAAGAACGAAAAACTCACCCCATGCCAGATTTTCAAGAAGTTCTGTTGATCAAGGTAAACTAAGCTAAAAATTAAATGGGAAAATTAAAAATAGAGTTCAATTAAAAATGGTCGCTACTTCTAACTAAACGCAATTAAACTAAGCTCACTCACTAGGAGTTCGCTGAAAGTGGGTCAAGGTCCAGGTTAAAATCATAAAAGAAACCAATACAGACAATCAAAACAAGCTCATTGCGGTTCTCGTCTGTTGAAACTTGATTCAAGTTTATCGATACCTAAATGCTTCAAACCATCGTCGAAGAAGCCTTACTTTTAGTTGAAAGCGTTTTATCGCCAATTTGGATCTCCATAGTTATCCTTCATATATAACATAGGCAACATATATTGGAAAAAAATTCATGGGCATCGATAAATCGGTTATCGCAGCAGTTTTCTGTGAAGAATTGAATTTCGGGAGTTATAGGATTCTTTCGCTCGAAGATAAAAACGGTTCCATATATACTTGACAGTCAAGATTCCTCATTTTGAATAGTTGATGGTCTTTTGTTGATAAACTTTCTCTACTTATTTCCCGTTGGTATTCTAAATTTTATTTGACTGATAATTGATTTTTAATTGATCTGAAATTATAGCGGACTTTGCGAGGGAGTATGCGAATGAGTTGAAGAACACAAAAAATTGTTACATGAGCCATTCTTCGAGCGCCAGACGATCTGGTCTCTGTGGCTACTGGCATGCCGGTGAGAACCTGTACTGGTCCACGGAAGTGAACGACAAAACAGCCCGCAACTCCGGATGGACCGCTACACAAGCTTGGTTTGATTAATTTACTGCATCTTTTTTACTACTGTCCCCTTGTTAACTAGTACAAACAGGGGCTCTTTACCACTCCCCTCACTTTTCAAAATATCTATTTTCATGATTGTGTTACGTAATATTCTAGTTAAATGCGTGATATTACGATGTTAAGTATGAAGATCAAACGTGTTCACAATAGTTAGTTTGCTCACCATGCCATATTTCAATGCATTATGACAATGTTAAATACTTTTTCAAAGTTCAATTTCAAAAGTGGGAGGGGTGGGTGGAAAATAGCTCAAAGAGTATATACCCTTTAATTTTTCATTGGACTTATCAGTGAGAATATGCGAACAAAGTGCCTGGCAATCTAGATCGAGGTGCTCAACTTAAGTCCAATTTTGAAAGCCGAGAAGGTACCGATTTCAAACAGAAAATCAGCGGTGCAGAAGCAATTTTGACTCAAAAACATGCACAATATAGGCAATAAAGTCAAAACATAACTCTTTTTGGTGAAAAAAATTGAAACAGAGGCGAGAAAGTCGAAACAGAAGTCGAGCACAGTCGGAAAATATCCAATTCTGGTAGAAAAAATCGAAACATAGATCGAGTTCAGTCAAAACATAGACGAAAAATATCCAAACATAGTTCGGGCACAGTCGAAACACCCGATTTCGGTCTAGAAAGTCGAATTACAGGTTAGTAAAGTCGAAAAATAGGTCGAATGCAGTCAAAACATAGGTCGAGCTCAGTCGAAACTTAAATAAAGCACAGTCGAAAAATCGATAAACATAAGACGAGCACGGTCAAAGCATAGGGCGAGTACAGTCGATACATCCCTCCAGCAGTAAAAAAAAATAGATAGATCAATGGAAAAATGAATTTAAAAATGCGTTTTTTTTTGCTTGCATATTTGTAAGACATGATGATCATGTTATATTTGTTTTATTGTGAAAATGGCTAGACCAGCATATTTGCTTATTATAAAAATACCGCCACAAAAAGGCATTTAAGTGGTCCCAAACTCAGCTATCAGCATTTTTTTCATAAACGCGCAAACCGTCGCCACAAAAATGAAATGATAGAAAACAATGAAACTGCTGTTTTTTCCTGGCACAAATGTAAGACAGATGATGGTATGTATTCTCACCATCATCATCACCATCTTAATGAAAAGTTTTAATTTTAATTTCTTGTATTAAAACCTCTTTTGCAGTTCAGTACTGTTCTATTATAAACACAGTCTGTTGCAGTAAAAAGCAAAATAATCCAGTAAAAATGTGTTCTTAATGTTCTCAAGTTTTTTGAATAAATCGTATGATTTGTAGGTGGGACGAGATAAAAGACTTTGTGTTTGGATTGACAGCTTTGGGTGATGCGGGCGACTTCAAGATGTGTGAAGTGCATTGGACTGGACAAACGGGCCACTTCACTCAAGTTAGTACATTTTTTTCTAAATCAAACACCTGGTTGTTTAAGCCGACAAGAGTGCATTTAACCAGCACCCAGTAAGCAATGACTCACTTGCAAGAGCTCACCTTTCAAATTGCAGCGCAGGTGCGAGTTGAACTCGCAATCATTTGATTGACGTTAACCAACGATACCGGAGCGCCACAATGCCATATCACCCAAACTACCCTTTTTGAGCATTGTGGCTGTGGTACAATGATGAACCCTTCCCTCATTTTTGAGAGGTTGATACTCGCGATGAGGTAGTTCTTAAGCAGGGGCACAACAGCGGTTCGCCGTGATGGGCTGTACAGCTCGCATGTTGGTCCTATCTTAAAAATTATCCACGAGGGATAGGACCAACATGCGAGCTGTACAGCCCATCACGGCGAACCGCTGTTGTGCCCCTGCTTAAGAACTACCTCATCGCGAGTATCAACCTCTCAAAAATGGAAAAAAAAAAAAAAAAAAAAGAGTCGAGGAAGTCACTGAGTGTGAAGTTGTGTAATAGTTAGCTTAGTTTTAGTTAGCTTAGAGATTTATAGTCGCGATGGCCGGGATTCCTGTAGGGTGGTGTTTTAGAGTGGTACAAGATGAAGTGATCCTTTTGCCCATCAATCTCATAGTTACCAGTAAGAAGTTTTTGCAGCTTCGCGACTCAAATTACCATCTGAAATTCAGGCATTTCTGGCAAGATTTTGAAACTCCTGGGAGCTATCTTAAAAAATATCGGCAAAATAATGGCAAAAATTTTGAAATGGTTAAAATGCTTTGCAGCAGGAAAAGCCCGGATCTCAAAAAATTGTGAAAGTCGCGTCAGAACTGCCAATCAGTCCATTTACTGTAAAGTTTCTGGGATTTTCCTTTTTACTACTGCGAGAATCTAGAATTTGGGGATTGATTTTTTTGTATATGCTTCTATAATTATGGACGGTTGCTAAGCATTGTTTTTCTTTTCAGCAGGTTGACTTTTCAATTGTAATTGCTGAAAGAAAGAAAATTTTTGCTGTATGATAATTTTTTTTTATGGTCAACAAAATGTGAATTTCTTTTTTTTTCTATTTTAACAAAACTTGTCATGTACTCATGCACAGTTATTATTCAGTCCAAATATATCACATGTTTAACGAAATCTGGCAAAATAACAATTTTACATTAAAACCTTAAGTTGTGAAATCGCTGATTCCAGTTGCGCCACTAACTGAAAACTTGTAATTTGAACAATTGAAAGTTTTCAATTTTGATAGCCTTAATCTGTAAGTAAGTCGCGATGGCCGGGAAATTTGTCGCAATAGTTTGAAAATGGTTTGATGATTTGAAAATTAGTCAAAATAGTACGATTGTTAATGGCGAATGTCTGGCAGCCAATTGCGGTGGTCTGAGAGCGAATATCCATAAGGTCTCCAGTTTAGAAACTAGTCGCAATAGTCTCGTCATATTATCCTCACATTATTGGACATAAGCCTAGGAACTATACTCAAAACGATAAAATGCGGTGATAAAAAAAATCGGTGATTAAAGATTACGCTAAGATTTTTTAAAAAGTTGGTGTCTCTAGACAATTTCGACCGACTTTGCAGATCAAGAAGATACGACCGAGACCGGCGCAACGCGAAGAAAACTTTTCCACCATCATCGCAACTGAAGAAAAATTTTCCGCAACCATTACAACAATACTGAGCTTGAACTTTGTCTACCTGGTATAATTTGTTTGGCAATTCACAATTTGCAACCATTAACAGTGCATTTTATTACTACCTAACTGATACGAGTTTCAATAATTTAACACTATATTTTTGAAAAATCGAATCTTTTTGCTGGTTTGTAACACTTAATTTATCTCCAACAAAAGTCCGAGAAGCGATATCTCTTATTAAAATACCAAAACTTACGAGAAAAAGGTACCACAATATAGAACTTCGAGTTTTTTTTAACAAACTAGCAAAAACATACGATTTTTCAAAAAAATATAGTGTTAAATTGTTGAAACTCGTATCAGTTAGGTAGTAAAAAAACGCACGTTTGATGGTTGCAAACTGTGAATTGCCAAACAAATTATACCAAGTAGACAAAGTTCAACCTCAGTATTGTCGTACTGGTTGCGGACAATTTTTTGTCGGTTGCGTTGATGGTGCAAAATTTTTCTTCGCTTTGCGCCGGTCTCGGTTGTATCTTCTTGATCTGCAAAATCGGTCGAAACGGTCTAGAGACACAAAACTTTTTTCGCAATACTCCAGTAATATCGAAAATTTGTTGCAGTGGTCTGAACCTATGAACCCAACCTGGACCCAGAAGCATTGAGTTTAGGAATGATTGTCATATAAGATTTGGAGTTCTGATTCTTCGTTATGTTAACATTTCATAATTTTTGTTAGAATCTGATTTTAATCCGATATAGCTAAAACCTACTATAACACTTTTCGTGTCCAAATTTTACCCTAGTTGATGAAGAGTCCTGCATTTTGTGCATGTTCATGCCATCAGAAAAAAAAACAGTACTCTGGATCGTATTGAGACATTCAACTCAGAGACTCTTCAGAAATTTTGCCGTTAATTTTGATTTAGACTATTCATTTTCACACACTTTTTGTTCCGACCATTGAAAATGGGGAGGAACTTTGTATTCGGGTGTGTTTTAGTTTTTTTCCTCGCAAAATCAGCTACCATAAATAATGATCGGACAGGGTTGAGTGATATATCATAATAAAGCCCTTTTAGTCGTGATTCGAACTACATCAAAAAATTACAAAAAATTTTCACTGTGTCGAGAAAAACCGGTTTGAAATTTTTGATTTTTCGTCTAATTTCGAGCGAGTGAGCAGGCTTTCATTAGCTTATTTATGCTTCATTTAAGCCTTGAAAATTTAGTTTCACTCTAATTAAGTTAGTTTTTGCAGTTCTTAGCTACATCTTAGGAATAAAAAATTCAAAAAATTGTGAAAAACTTGAAAAATTATAAGAAAAAAATATTTAATTTTTTTCTATTTGTTTTTGTTTTTCTTGTTATTTGTCTTTCAATTTGAGTATTTTACATGATTGACCAAAATGCCTAAGCTCTACTTTTTTTTGTTCAGATTCCTTTATAACAGCAAGCCGAAAAAGCGACACTAATTGGAAAAAAATAATGTTTTCATTTTTAAGATTGGTCGCAACATTCTGTGCTATTTGCACAGTAACCGGTTATCCTTGTTTAATTTTGGCAACAGTTTTTTATTCGAGTCTCAAAGAGTTTCGATTTTTCCTTTTGTTGATTTTTGCAGGTTATGTGGCCAGACACCACCCATCTTGGTTGCGATAGAGCAGAATGTTCCGGCTCCCACGTAGTTGTGTGCATCTACGGTGTAAGTGGAAACATCCTTGGCCAGCCGCCATTCTCCGTCCAAACACTGGACCAACTGAACCAGAGTCCCGAAGCGGCTGCTTTTGGGAACATGGCAACGTGCACTGAAGGGGGTCCGGTTAACGACGAAGGAGCAGCGCCTACGATGGCGCCCACGACGACTACGACAACGACAACGACAACCACTACTTCAGCACCAAGCTCGCCTAGTGGTGGCACGATGTGTAAGAGCTCTTGGGGAGATTGTACTTTCCCAATGGACACCGTATACTGGGGTGTCGCCCAAGACTGCAATCACTTCAACCACATGGGCTATCAAGGGTTCTGCTTCGTTGGTTTTGATGAGTCTGGCGCTGGAAAGTTGGGCAAATGCGACACTTCTGATCCTAACTGTCCTTTCTGAAACAGCGACGAAGCAAGAAAAACACGAGATAACTTTGAACGAGCGGATTAAAATTGGCCGAAAAATATAGCAAAATAATTTAAAAGACCAGAAGTAATCGCTTGGGTGAAGGTAGAAACAACTTACTTCAGCGTTTATTTTTGCTTTTATAACTAAGCCAGAGCCATACATCCTGTATCTGATTTCAATTCTACTGCAAATCACTTTTTCAGTTTCAAAAGCTGCTATTGAGGTGTTTGATTTAAAGCACAACTACTGGCATCAGGTTAAAATTCCTTTTGCTTACGAAAAATTCCTTTCATAGAAAAAGAATTCGAGTGAACTAGTTATAGTGGAACCTGATCTAAACTACATTTTATGATTGGATAAATTAGATATTTTACCAATGTAAAGTATTTAATATTAACCAATCATGATCCATCTAACTAACAACCCACTTATTTGTAAGTGCTGAAGTTACTTGTAATTTCAGCACCAGAGAGATTTGAATTTAACTTAGAAATTAGTTGGACTCTCCCGAGCACTTCAGCAGCCGCAATAAACCAGTATACCCTAGATCTATTGAGCCTAGCAGAGACTAGTTAAACAACCTGAGACTAGATAGTATAAGAGTAAGATTAGGATCGGTATTAGACTAAGAAGTTGCACGAATCTATCCGGCCGAAACTAAGATAGCGTGACGAGCAGACGGTGTACCCTATCCGAAATTACTCTATGAGTTAACCAACTCGGTCCTAACTCATCTGGTGCGACCATAAGTCTCGAACAAGACCTTAATAGCTTAGAATTAACCAAAATAGATTAGAAATTAGACAAAAACATTTAAAAAATGTTATACGACAATAATTTAATCGAAATGTCTCTACGACTCAATAGATCAGAGCCAATATTCCGAACCATAACAGAACTACCCGGAATTGGAAGAAAACCTCGAACCAGAGACGACATACGACAAAGTAGAAATTTGCCATATAGCTATATGATAGTTAGGCAAAAACCAGAACAAACTTTTATATTTAGAATACTACTGGCAATGAATTTAGATTTTCATTTGCAAACATAAAACCTTGAAGTTAATCTTCAAAATCATTTCAGGCGCTAAACAAAATTATTAATATACAATAACGATTGATAAAAAGATCTAAGATCGTTTTCCTAAAACTCTGCAGTAATATACAAAACATGTTTGAAAAATATTTATTGAAAAATAAAAAATAAAAATTAGTAGCATGACAATAAATGGTTAGTAATCATAAATCATCCTGTTGTTCCAGCTCCATCATCTAAAACATAACAGCAATCATAAACCCACTAATATCATCAAAACACTAAATCTTTCCTTTACACACATTTAAAATTTTATTAAAACTTAAATTCACTTAATTTTAAAACCAGATCATCAAGGCTTATCCTTGGATCTTAAATCATTTTCTACTTAATTAAATTTCAAATTTGATCATCAAGGCTTATCCTTGGATCAAACAGAACAACTTTGTTCTCCCCCACCCACTTAATTAGTGTCTAACGACCTCAAACGTCGATTCACTACCCAACCCTTTCTAAAGACCTAAGACTAATAGAAATTTTTAAACAAAACTAATCATTCAAATTAGGATAAACAGTGAAGAACTTCGGTTATTCATCCTTCACTTGACCCCCCCTCTTACCAGACCCAGGATAAATCTTAGACTTAGTAAGTTTAAAATAGTATCTAACGAACTACTCGCGTTCTAATTATACCTGAACCCTGTGGATCGATTTACTATTCTCCAACCCTTGAACACAATCACTACCCCTAAGTAAGATTAAGTAAGTTAACACCTTAACTTATACTAGCCACGAGAAAGTAAAAAATCATTCTTCGGAATCGATATACTTTTCTCTCCAACCCTGAACAAATAGACCCAGGTTAAGCTAACCAAAAAATCGTAAGAACTAACAGTTTAAGAAAATAGAAACCATTTAACAACCTTTTGCATCCGTCATCCTAAACCTTATGTCATTTAAAAACCTAGGAAATAAACAAACAATCGTTTTACACAATTGTGAAATAGATAACAAAAAATACGACCTTGTAATCACACCTCATACACAAACAGTTGGATACATTCGAACAAAACGACAAACACTAAAAAGAAAAATAATAACGAAACAAAGACAAATAACACGAAAAAGATTTTCAAAAAATCGAAACGCATTTTCAGAATCAGAAACCAACAGTTTAGACGAACTTTACAAACTAAAAGAATCAATAGATAAAAATTGCCCACTTCACGATCAATTATATTTTTCTGACTCAGAAACAACTTCAAATTCATCAAAAAGAGGAAAAAGAAGAATAAAAAAGCAGTATAAACACAAACCAGTACATTTATACAATTGGAATCAACCAATTCGACACATTAATAATTACATATTAACAGTCATCGAACGAAAAAATGAGCTCAACGCACACCCCAGGTGAAGAAAGTCCAGATGATGATGAAATCTTTCCTTTTATAGTAGATGCAACCACTGATACAGGACAGCATATATTTTGCAAAAATTTACTATTAAATTTATTTGAACCCGGAATCAGTCCATGTAAAACAGAGTTCCCAGATGTAAAAATCAAAAGACAAATCATAGACCACTACTTAAAAGATATATGCAACATAACACAACAGTATGGAATCTATTCCATAGAATTCACCTCACCAAACCATAATAATAGAAAATATACAATTCAAACAGACGATCTTGATTTAGAATTTTCAAAAGTTTTTTCAGAATATATAAAAAGCATCCAATATCATAACTCACAAAGAGCAAACTCCATATTCACCAATGAAGTTTTCGCAATAATATATAGTTATATTTCGATATTAGAAAACGAAATCCCAATAACAAATGTCTCACCGACAGAAACATCTAAACATTTAAGAGTACGACATGAAATCACACTACTCTCTAGTTATTTAAACATCATTAAAGAAAATTTCACGAAAGACGACGTTTCACAACATACAAAACACGATCTACAAAAAATTTTGGCATGGTTCATAATAGATTAATTCACACACAATTTTGATTTAATTGCACAAGCAAGAAAAAATTTTAGACCCCAAAACTCGAACGATGATACCGCTATCACAGAACAATCAGACTATGTTTGGGACCCCGAATGGTCTCATCCCGCATTTGTAAGCTTCCCACAATCAATCTCAAGTCAAGCAATAAGTACGATATCTTACATAAGAGATTATGTAAAAGTAATACCATTAACCATTGATGCAACACCATTAAACTATAATACATTTTTGCCCGATACACAAAATAATAGTTTAAACTCTACAGTTATACACAATGAAAACCTCAATGGAACTAGGAATCTTACTCAACAAGATATCCAGACACCATCACACTTCATAAATGAAGAAATTGTACACACAACAACTACACAACAAAGTATTTCACCAATACGCCCAAATTTAACAACACCAAGAAATACAAATCCTTCACAAACACAGGTAACCTTACAATCAACCGTTAAACCTTCGGTTGCTCCTAAATATTCACATATGGATTACCAAACATACAGACCCATGACAATACCATCAAAAACACACAAAACATTCACTAGAAACAACTTTGCAGACCATAATTATAATTATACACATCCATCAAAAACATATAACCAACCACAAAGAAATTTTAACCAATATACAAGATCTCGAAATTGGGATAACCCAATGACCCAACCTAATTCAATAAATTTCCAAACAAATCCTCCACAGGATCACAGTGAAAATTACCCATTTTTTCAACAAAATAAAAATAAAAAACAGACATCTTATCAAATGGATTATTTATCCTCAGATGATGATTTCTTACAACCAGATATATTTGCACCAAATACTCAAGAATATCGTAGACAAGGAATACAGAAAACACGTACAAATCATAGAAATTTTTCTCCACAACCAATAGATGCACAACATCAACAACCAATTCAACAACAAAATCTAATTAATACACAATCTTTTCAACCAATTCAACAACAAAATCCAATGACTGCACACTCGTATCAACCATCACAAATGCAAAATGAAATACCACTCCCATATTATCTCCAGCAACATGAAATAACAAGAAACCAACTTTCAAATTTTTCTCAAATGCCAAATGCAGCAGAATCATTACAAATGACAATGAATCCATACCTTATGGGTGGATCATCAATAACATCAAACAAACCTTTAATGGTTTTCACAGGAACAGACCCTGAATACTCTGTAGAAGATTATTTAAATGCAGTAACAGCAAACCTGATTTTAAATATTGGACCTGAACCAATTAATACGCCACTACATCAAAACTGGATACATCGACGCACAGCGTTAATACAAACAACCTTAGATGGCGCAGCCCAAAAATGGTTTTCAGTACTACCTCTAGAAATAAAATCAAACTGGAAAAGGTTTACACAGGAATTTTCAAAAATGTTTGACTCCGAAAGAAACAAACAACAACAAAGAGTTTTATGTAATGAAATTCGCAGATTACCAAACGAAACCATCAAGCAAATAGCAGTACGAATCGAAACACTAGTTCGAAAAGCATATTCATTAAATACACACGACTATAAAAACACAAAGATGACAGAAATCTTAATGATGACCTTAACACCACAATTAAGGAAAATAGCAATAAAAAAGAGAGCATCCCATCCTTCTTCAATTCGAGAACCCGATTTAGATTTTCGAAAACTAGTAGACAAATTAGAAGAAGCAGAAATCACGATGAAACTAGAAGAAACGGAAAATCTGAAATTACAATACGTTAACAGAATTGAAACAACTCCCACTAATATTAATAATATACAGGAATCAGAGACAGACCTCGTTGAAAAAATCACTGAAATACTCAATATTTACGAAAAGAACCCAAACTTTAAATGCAAACCATCTTTCAAAAAATGGTGTAATTATTGCCGACGATACGGACATAGTATTTCCGAATGTAGACAAAAACAGCAAGACAATCAAAATAAACCTCAAAAATATAAAGAACCAAATAAATCATTCTATCAATACATGAAAAAAGATCAAAACCTACCGAACAAAACAGTCTACAGCAACAACAGTTCAGGAAAACCACTCCCGAACAATACAAATTATACAAGAAATCAATCACCATATAACTCAAGTTATAGAGGAAG